AAAAACCAATCATACTAAATAATTTAACAACAAAATTAAATCAATATTATATATGGCGTCAATCTATTTATATGGAAAAAGATGCATATTTATACAATGCAATATATATTTTGGAATTTGGATATACTAAAAAACTAGTACAACACCCGTGTATTACACGGGTGCTTGCTAATTTTTTTTCTTAAAATCTAAAATTAATGAGAAAAAATAGTTTGAAAATTTAAATACCTTTTATAAGAATATATATATTATTATATATTCATTATGACACTTTTTATTTGTGCAACTTACTTGTGTTATATTATACTAATTTTTTTTTAACTTACAATATATAACTACATTACATATAAATATATCAATTGAGTAATAATTTTATTTTTTTAATGAATTTTAATAAATATTATTATTTTTTATTATTATAAAGATAAATATAATTTATTTATTTCATATATACAATATGGATATCAAATCGAAGATCATCAAAAGATGATTAATTTGATATATTATATATGTAAAACCGATAAGAAATACAGAAGTTATCAACTTTTAAAATATATTTATAATTCAATTGTTTGTTGAAGGAAACAAATCAAAATTCAAGGATATATTAGTCACTTAGTGCCTCACTATGTAAAATTACAAAGAATTAAAGGGTTATATTAGTAAAAGTGATATTAAAATACCTAAGTTAGCTAAATAATATTTATGGAATACCCGAACCTAGATTATTAGTTATTAATAAATTAATATTATTTGTCCAAACCTAATTACGAAGCATGATTCTTCGCCAAATAGGATTTGAAGCAGCAGAAGCAACCACATAGGCTTAGCGCATTCTAGAATTATATATAGGGAGGATATTTTATTTTAAGTCATGATATCTCCTTATATAATACACAAGGTAAAACATGTTTTATTTTATGTTATAAAATCTTATTATAAAATATACCTATATTCCCGAACAATTAGCTTTGACTTTCAATGATTCAGTTCTACCTTATTTTGGCAGTACTGCCACATTCAACTTCTAGAAATTTAATTCGGTAGATTTTATTTTTATTATTATTATTATTATCTAACTTCTAGAAATTTAATTCGCTAGTTCATTATTATTATTATTATTATTATTATTATTATTATTATTATTATTATTATTATTATTATTATTATGATGATGATGATGACGATGATGGTAGGTTGGCGGATGGATACTAAGTTCTAAATACGTTCGCAATGCCCTATATTATTACGTGTATAATAGTAAGATGATAATTATATCTTTTCTATTTTTCTTATTAAGTATTATTGTTATTTTTTAATCTTAATAATATATTAGTATGTATAAATAAAAGTAATTAACTTTAAAGTACTAATGAATTTGTAAGTTGCATATAAAAAATGAACTTGATTTTTTTATTATATACTAATTTACAAGAAATTAGTTTCAAGTTATTCATACAAATAAATATAAATATATTAATAATAAAATATATTTAGTATAAAAAAATCGAAAATATTAAGTAGTATGTTTATCATTCGTGGGTTTAAAGTTAAATTCTAAAAAATACAAAAATATAAGTAGGAATAATTTTAAGTATAAAGTATATACAATATTAAAATGAAAAACTAATGGGTCATCAATCGAACTGCAATAGTAAATTTAATGTTTAGAAGGAAAAATTAAAATATTTCTAATATATATTTTTACAAACTATAATAGCAAATCAACGGACATCTATCAAACTGTAATAGTAAATTATTGACTTAGAAAGAAAAATAATTTATATTGTTATAAATTACAATAATATATCAACATCGGTGTCGAATTGTCGTATACTTTATTAAACTGTAAATAAAATTTCAAAATATTTATAATATATATTCTTTATTAAATTACAAAGTATTAAGATAATTTTTACGTAATTTTTTTTTTAATAATTTTTATATCTTCAAAACAATATACACTACAAACTGTCAAATTTTTAAGAGCTAGTTTTCGAGCCGAGCCGGGTTAAACATAAAATTCGTAGACCATCAACTATCAAATTTTTAAATTCGACCATCGAATCCGTGACCGTTGCGATCAAACAACTGATCAGATTATTCTGATCCGTAGGGCCGTTGGGGTTGACACAAAATTGATGAATCACAGTGATTTTTCCCTCCAATTTTAAAAATGACCATAAGATAATTCAAATAAAATCAGCAATCGATTTATTAACTACTTTGTCAACATTATACAATAAATTCATTAATTAATTTATAGAGACATGATTTTTTTTTAAAAAAATTTCAAAAAAGATTAACAAGCTTAGTAATTTTAAAATTTTTAGACGGTATTTTATTTTTTATTTCAATTAAATTATATATTATATATATATATATATTCCATAAATATTCTTTACATAAAATAATTTTTACACTATAACACAATATGTTCAGAATTCATATTTTTTTGAAGATCAATAAATATTTTTTTAGGATATTGAAAACTCGAGCCTAAGTAAATTAACTTATTTCAATTTTTTATTTTTTAAATAAAAAAAGAAAAAAAAAACTTTATTATAATAAATCAAACATAACATTAATTGATCCAAATTAAAACACTCAATAGGGCTGAAAATAATCAATTAATTATCACGATAATTGTTGATAAACGGTACTATAACATTAATTTTTTTTTTTACCCAACCACTGTATCTGGAGCTATATCCCGATTAATCTGTTGATCGACCCACATTAAATTTTAACAATTAAAAAAGCAGGCACAAGCCGTAGCAAATTTGTTCTCGGCCGCCTGAAAGGCACAAACCGAGTTAACCAAATTTGTGGAATAACCGGCGCCAAAGCAAATCTGAATGCATGAGATTTTATTGCGTGGGTTGCAGCCCACGTTATATAGCGTGTTCAAGCAAAGGTCCGCCCCAACACAACCTGCATTGACAAAAAAACAAGTCCTGACGTGAGAATCGAGAGAATAATCGAATGTATAATGCTTTTTATATTTGTATATGACATGAATTATGATGCTATTTTTTTTTTATTTAATATTTAGATTAATGTTATTTTTAAATATGACTCAATTGAAAATAGCAACAAACATAATAAAAAATAACGAGAAATGCTATTGTCCTATTATAGAATCATTCCGTCGAGATTTGTAACCGTTAAATCATCATGTAACGGTCAGATATAGTTGATATCTAACGGTTACAATCCCCGACGGAATGATTCCGTAACAGGATCGTAGCATTTAATTAAGTATAAAAATAACTAGCATTATTCTCACATTATTGGTTGGTTCTTATATACCTGAAATCAGAATGAAGCATATGATTATAGCCAGAAAAGATGATGAGGGCTTTGCCATTTTTTTTTTTTTTTTTTTTTTTTTTT